GGGGAGGGGAGGAGGCGGGGGTGGTAGGGGAAAATGGATGAGGATGCATGGAGAGGGGGAGAGGAGTGAAAGGAAGGAAATAGAAGGGCAAGCATGGGACAGAAGAAAAAAGGAAGGGGAGCGAAAAGGGTGAAAGATACAGGGGAGTTGTTCTCAGATGTCTGACTTCTACTCGAATAGGGAACATCTTACATGTTCGAATGCGGGTGGTTGATCCAGCAGCAGGCAGAGCTGACAGCGCAGCTGATCGCCAACCAGCTCACGATGTATGATGTTGTGTTCTTCACCAAGAAGAGGAGGTCGGAAGCATCGGATGATGGGAAAGAGAAGACAACTCCGTTGTTCCCGGATGAGATCAGGATGTCGCTTCTGATCAAGTCGAACAAGTCGAACAAGAGAGATGAGAGGTCGAAAGCTCTGAATCGGATTGATCTTGTTCTCAACAAACAGCTCATGTACAACTCGCGGAAACAGCAGGAGGTGATGAGATAGAGTCTTATGCGTAGATGTTTCCCTGCTGATTGAGATTAGGAGGAAAACCGACTCGAATTTCGAGTGCGAGCTGAATATCTTGGAAAAATTGGTAATATGATATGGAGAATCGTTTGAGTTTCTGATGGTGGGAAGAGTGGTGTTATTTTCATTGTACAATGTATTGATCATTGTTGTGATGATGATAGAGACGGAGACGGAGACGGAGACGGAGATGGAGATGATAATGATGATGATGATGACGATGATGATGTTGACATTGATGGAGATGTTGATGGAGATGATGATGATGATGGAGATGATGATGATGGAGATGATGATGATGGAGATGATGATGATGATGGAGATGATGATGATGATGATGATGATGATGATGATCATGGTGATGATGGAGATGATGGTGATGGTGATGATGATGATGATGGAGATGATGATGATGATTGCCACGTCGGCAATGACGATGACAATCAATTCTTAGGTGGTGTAGAGCTCGCAAGTTTTTCTCCAGACTTCGAATGGTTTCTTTCCGACATTCACGTCTCATGTCACAAAGATTTTGATCGTCAGGTAGAGATACAACTCTCGACTTCCTTTCTTCAAAGTTCAGTCTGATGCTGTTCTCCCCGCTCTCTCTCTCTCTCTCCCCGAGTCCCACTCTCCCTTTCTTCCTCCCTTCCTCCCTCCCGCTCGCTCGTTCGCTCGCTCGCTCTCCCTCATGGCTCTCTCTCCAGCACTTCGTCTGCAATGAAGCTCTTTCCAACAAGTCCCGCGTCCTCTCGGAGCACAACTTCTGCTTCAGATCTTTACAGAGAGAGCCTAAGAGCAAAGTTGAGGCCGAGATGCAGGGCCTGAAGGTTGGGAAGGAGGAGAGGAGAGGGGGGAGGAGGAGAGGAGGAGAGGAGGAGAGGGGGGAGCAGCGAGGAAGGGACAGAGAATGGGATGAGCAGGGAGGGAGACAGTGAGAGAGGGAGGCAGGGAAAGGGAGCAGGGAGGGAGCAAGGGAGAGGTTGGAGGGATAGCCGGAGGAGGCGGAGGGGAATAGGGGGGGGAGGGGCAAAGGAGGAGGAGCAAGGCTATGACATAACGACCAGAATCTGATCGACGGGATCCCATCCTTCCGCATGCCTGTTGTGGTTGAGGGTGATAAACAATTTGTGCGTTTGTTCGGCGACATGATGGAGTTTTACCGCAGAGGCGATCTTTGATATGCTCCACCACAACCTCCGGAGGCATCGGCAGCTCCGCGCGGCTATCAAGCTCCATGTAGAGAGCCTGATGAATCATATCGAGGTCTGTGAACTCCGAGCACTCCTCCCCCCCCTTCTCTTCCACCTCCTCCACCTCCTCCTTACCTTCTCTTTCTGCGCCTTCTCTCTCGCTCGCTTCATTGTTGATGCTTTCTTGCGCGAGTCAGTTCTCTGCATTCTCATATTCGCCCTTTCCCTCCTATCTTCTTCTCCCTCCCCTCTCTTCTCCCTCCCCTCTCTCCATTTCTTTCCCTACACTCTACTCTCCCTTCCTACCTCCTCTCTCCTTCACTTCTAGTGACTTCGAGATCCTCTAGAAAACTTTGCAGTTCAAGTTGTCCAAGGGTGATCTTGTGGTTGCTCACTTCTACGTTGGAAATGCCAAGAGCGAGTATGCGCAAGAATGCACTGTCCTGGAAGACAGCATAGGAGGGGAGGAAGAGGAGGAGGCGGAGGAGGAGGAGGGGAAGGAGGAGGAAGGAAAGAGGAAGGGAGGAGTGAAGATCGAGGTCGGTGGGATCCAGCAAAGAGTCCCTTCCTCGTGGATTCGCAGGGTGGTCTCGATGCCCCCGGAGGGCTCAGGGGAAGTAGCAGCAGAAGCATCCAAGTTCTTTCAACCTCTGCTGAAAAAGATCGACAACCTCCTCCTGAAGCTCAGGAATGCTGCTCCTGCTCCTGTCCTCCCCCCAGCTGCTGGTGCTGGTGCTGGTGCTGGTGCTGTTCTACTTTCAAGAGGTAATGGTCAATGAGTTAGAAAGACGATGTCGTGTCTTTCCCTCATCTGCGCTTTGCAACTTCAGTGCTGCTCGTGCTGCTATGTTCATGCTTCTCGTCCTCTTGCTGCTGTGTTTATCGTTCTTTTTCCTTCCCCCTAGTCCCTCATCCGCCCTCATCTTCCTTCTCTCTTCATCCTTCCCGTCCTCTTTCCTCTCTCCTCTCTTTTCTCCCATGTTGCTAGCAGCTCTCCGCAGCGAGCGCATGTATGACACTCTCTTCCAGACCAGGACTACCATCTCAAGGCTGCATATGAGCATCAGCAAGTGATGATTGCACAACCAGACTGCATCGAAGATGACTTGCAGGTTTCAGGTTTCATCGCAAGCCAGCCCGACAGCCGCAGTTGATGTTCAAGTTAAGGAGCTCCGGCTGAAGAACGAGAAGGTAGAGAAGTAACGTTACGTTTCTACGCTCCTGATGTTGGAGCCTTGCGCTGTGAAGTTGCTGGAGACTGAGAAGATGATGGAGCACTACGTGGATTCTCTTCACGAGCAGGTGAGAGGACGAGAACTAGGATAGAAGGAGGAGGAGGAGGAGGAGGAGGAGGAGGAGGAGGAGGAGGAAGGAAATAGGAAAACGGTATGATGATGAGGAGGAGCAGGAAGGAGTAGAAGATGATGATTGCGATGACCGGAACGACGACGATGATTCTCACTCGGTTATCTTGAAGATCAAACAGGAGGAGAAACTGAGGGAGCATCTGAATCAAGAAGTCGAACAACTCACAAGGAAGGTAACGAACATGCATGCTGAGCAATGAAAGTGCATGATGGGAAGAGGCCAGGTGGAGCAAGAGGAGAAGCTGCGGGAAGAGGAGGAGAGGAGGAGGGAGGAAGTGGAGAGAGAGAGAGATCAGCTGGCAATGAAGGTAAGGAGGGAGGGTGATGGGGCGTGCGGGGGAGAGGAAATGAAGTTTTTGGTTGCAGTTGGCTGAGGTGAAGAGAGAGAGTGAGAGGCTCAAGTCTGGAGACGACGTGAGCTTGCATCGTGTTGGATGATGGAGAGCGTTCTTGTGATGTTTGTTGCAGACTAGCACAGGGAGGGCAGAGATCGGTCAACATGCAAAGGTTGGAGAATAGGTGATGGATGATGATGATGATGATTGTGATGTGAAATGTAGGAGAACAAAGTTCTAAGCTCGTCGATCCAAGAGGAGCTGGATACTTTGAGGTCAGGATGTGATGATGATGAGCGCAGATGGAATTCAATTCGTGGGAGAGATGAAAGATGCTGCTGCTGCTGCAGCAGCAGCTGATGATGATGATGATGATGATGATGATGATGATGATGATGATGATGATGATGATGAAGATGATGATGAAGATGAAGATGAAGATGATGATGAAGATGATGATGATGATGATGGTGATGGTGATGATGGTGATGGTGATGATGATGATGATGATGATTCCCATTCATATAATGACAAGAAACGTATCAAAGTTTTGGAGTGTGGATTCAACGACTGGGTTTATGAGATCACTTATATCTCCTTCCAGATCCGAGAATGCAAAGCTGCTAAAAGAAATGCAAAATCTGAATTATCTGTTAGACCTTTCACAGGTTAGATATCGTTTGTTGAGATGGTTTGTATCGATCAAGAACTAACAAGACGCTGCAAGAATGAAAGGAAAAACAAGACGATGAGATGAGCATGCTGAAGCAACAGGTTGAATTTGCCCTCCAAGTTGTAAGTTGACAACTTGATGCTCCTATGGCTGCTGATGGTATCTTGAACTCGCAGAAGACTGAAGGCGACAAAATACATCAGATTGAGATGCGGAATGAACAACTTGAGAAGAAATTACAGGATACTATACAGGAGCTTGGTACGACTTCTTGCTTTTTTTGAAGCAACTTGCTCCTTGTTTCACAATTGACGTTGAGAATTGCTGGGCAGAGAGCTTGAAGCTGATTTCCAAAGAAAATCAGAAATTGGCAGAGAAGATGATAAATTCCCCGAAAGAGGTGAGAATCGACGAGAAACTTTTCAAGTTTTTCATCTTTTCCTGCTTTGTCCCTGTGACGTTTTGATGCAGGACAAATCACCGGACCCCAGGTGTTGGAGTTGATCAGAACAAGGAGGAGGAGGAGGAGGGGGGGAGGAAGGGGGGGAGCGGGAGAGGAGAAGGAGGGAGGAGAAGGAGGAAGGAGAAGGAGAGAAAAAGGGAGTGAGGAGAGCTGGTAGTGGAGCAGCAGGTGGAGTTGGAGGTGGGAGGTGGTGGAAGATAAGGGAGGGAGAGCGGAAAAGAAAGTGAGAGAGTGAGTCGAGAGGGAGGAGGGTGTGGGAGCAGGAAAGATGGCAAGACAAATGGAAAGAGAGAAAGGAGGAGGAAAGAAGCAGGGAGAGACAGACTAGGAGTGTGGGAGGGGACGAGGAGGGGAGTGCTGATAATGACACAGCAGGGAGCTTAAGGAGCAGCAGCAGCAGCAGCAGCAGCAGCAGCAGCAGCAGCAGCAGCAGCAGCAGCAGAGCGAAGGAGGCGAAGGCTGACGGAGAAGGCGGATAAGGAGAGCCAGGACTGAGACGTGAGTAACGCGGAAGGAGGAGGGAACGGCGACGGGGAGGCGGGAGAGGCGAGGA